CATGCATACAAAAGAAACATAACAGTGGACATCAATTACATAATCTATATTCTGAGCTGATTTTTGGTTCGATTTTCAATAATCTTTCACTTAAAAAAAAAAAATCAGTAAATCATCCTCCACCATATTCACTAGATCAAGTAATGTGATACCTGACCAAAACTAATAAATATCCCCCAATCGGACCTTTCGAATACATGTAATAAGGATAGCTCGCAGCTTCCTGGTTCAGATCAAAGTATTTTCGAGTTCTGTGCTTCAATTGAGCATGTTTTCTTTTACTTCACTTTTGTTTTCCTAGTGACTACTACTTTTAATATGATAATGGTATTATACAGCAGCAATTCGGAGCAAATGCCTTTTAAAATGTTTTTGCTATATGAATAAATTACTTGATATCATGATTAATGAAAATTACATTTTTTCTCCCTGATTTCATTGTTGCTGGACAAAACACACAACCTTGATTATATTTCATATATTTCATCACCCTTTCAAAAAAAAAATCATTGAACACCTCAAGAGTATATGGGGTTTAGGGTCCATAATTTGTTTTTGACAGTTTTGACAGTATCAAACTAAAGGAAAGAACAAACAATATCCTATCATCACTTTATTTGTAACAATATAAATGCATATACATCAACATTGTATGTACACCAGTGAGCAAACACACATATGCTAACTTGTAACTCACACACACTTACAAGTAGAACCATAGATACCCATGTGTACAAAAACACATCATTATGCATGCATGCTCCCATACATGCAAACGAATGTGCGCACACACACACGTCACAAGCACACATGTGCATGAACATGTGCACGTATGCATGCAACCACACGTGCACACATGCACACACACAGACACACACATGCACGCACACACGCACGCACGCACACATGCAAGCACGCACACACACATACATGCATGCACACGCACACACACACACACACACATAAAAAAAAGAAAAAAAAAAAGAAAAAAGAAAAAAAGAAAAAAAAAAACTGTACTAAGGCTCATAAGGGTTTCCACACTACTGTTACAGGAGAAATAAAGGAAGAAAGAATGAATCAAATTACCTAGTCTCATAAAAAACCTATGGGGTAAAAATTTAAAACATATATAAAATATAGAGAGAAAAATAACTTTTAAGAACTCCAGTGCTCTGAATCCTTTACAAAGGGATACTAAATCTTGAAGAGAAAAAAACCCTCAATAACCATGTTCAATTTCTTTAGAAACTTACACATAAAGAGAAAAAAAGACAGGAGAAAAACATCTGATGCAGATCACTATCCAACTTATTATACCAAGAGAGCATTATTGAGTATTACTTGGATTCACAAACAATGCCATATGATGCAAAAGAAAACCAACTTGGAAAATGAGGAGGCCTGGCATTACATGCAAATACAAAATCAGATAAATGCAAGGAAAAGACAACGACCTTTCAAATTAGGCCTCAAAAGGAAATTATGCAAAATGTCACTGATCAGTTTTCTCCAAAATGTTAACACACAGTGCAGAATGTAAGACACATTAACCAATAATCAAATGGAGAAGACAGACAACTTGTCAAATCCATTACAGCACAATGACATGATTAAAACACCATGAGCCTCTTCCCTTTATCTTCTTTAGAAAACACAAGATATAATGTGAAAACCAAATATGAAACTCTTAGTAAATTTAAATTCTTCCTTGCAGAGAGAGAATTGGAAAAGGTATATTGATCTGGAAATTTGAATTATGAATATTACCAATAAAAGAGGCAAACTGCTGTCTTTGTTCAGCAGATGAGTTTGATAATCTTTCTATTTGTTCAATAAGTGCAATCTGATGCTCAAAGACATAATATGCAATGAATTTTGAAAATTCTTTTGCATATTCTACAACTTAAACAGAGGGAACTCCAATGTGAAAAAGCAAAAACACCACATGCCTAACCTTGACTTTGGCCCACTTCAACACAAAGATACTACTGTTCTTAAAAGAACATCATAATAATTTCTTAATTTATTCTATCTTGAGTTTTTAAAACACTGAAATAAAAGAGCAATTCTAACATATCATGACTAGCAACGGGAAACTCTTAAGAGTCCTCCATACATTTTTCTTATACAAAGCAGTGTCTTTCACATTACTAGATCTTACGAGTATTCAAAATAACTAGTATCATCAGCAAGATTCTTTTCTGTGTAAGATTCATATACAAAGAGGAAAAGTTGACCCAAGGCAATAAAGAGAGAATGAAGGAAACAGTTAGAAAATCCTTGAAAGTTGGTAAAGGTCACTCTTACCATAAGACTACTGAAACTTCAAGTCATAACAAACTAATCTCTTCTACTTTTTACCATTTCTGAAGACAGGAGGATCTCAGGTCACCCTGGGTCAACTCTTTTGTTTTCTCTAAACCACATCAGTGATGAGCCCAGCCTTGATCAGTCTAAGGCAATATCTATAGTTTCCTATATGACAGAAAAGACAAAGGGTTTCCTGGTACTTTCCCTTTAGGCTGACATGGCTGATCCCTTCACTTCTGATATCAAGTTTGTACATGACAGTCAAGGAAACAACAACATGGACATTAACAGTAATGTATAACAGGCCAATGATTTTTCACAAAAAATGTGCCACAGCTAGCTACAAGAAGCATAAATTAACAACTCTATAGGCCTATATCCATCTACTGAATCTTTCTTTGCCATGAAAGTTTTATAATATATATGTTATTTTCTTCATCAATATTTGCAGACAACAGATTTACACTGCAAGTGACCCATGAAGTGTTTAAACATGGAGATCCTGCATGGGGGACTGATCAAAAAGTGAGAACATGGAAAAAAAGGACAATTTTTCATCAATATTGCTGAGTGTGTATTACCATATATCATGTTTGATACTCAAAACATCCATATATGTACATCATGACAAAATAAAATATGTGAGGCATATATTGTAAATCTCAGGATGGTACTCAACTTTCCCAAAAGGGATTTACAGTCATCCTTTTTGTACACTTTTATGTCCCACATACAGAAAAAAGCTCATATAAAATGGGTGATATGCAAAAATCATTGCTGCCCTATTTAATAGTCACTATCATCCAAGTACCTGATGCAATATACAAATAAGGGAGGGAGGGAGAGAGGGGGAGGAAGAGAGAGGGAGGAAGGGAGAGAGGTATAGGGAATGGGAAAGGGAGGGAGAGAGGAAGAGAGGAAGAGAGGAAGAGAGGAAGAGAGGAAGAGAGGAAGAGAGGAAGAGAGAGAGAGAGAGAGAGAGAGAGAGAGAGAGAGAGAGAGAGAGAGAGAGAGAGAGAGAGAGAATGAGTGAGTGTGTGAGTAAGTGAGTGAGAGTGAGTGAGTGAGTGAGAGTGTGAGTGAGAGTGAGAGTGGGAGTGGGAGAGGGAGGGAGAGGGAAAGAGAGGGAGGGAGAGGGAAAGAGAGGGAGGGTGAGGGAGGGAGAAGGAGAGGGAGGGAGAAGGAGAGGGAGGGAGGGAGAGAGAGAGAGAGAGAGAGAGAGAGAGAGAGAGAGAGAGAGTGAGAGAGAGAGAGAAAATTCTTCACACCTAAAACTTTCTGAAGAATAAAAGTAACAATTTTTGTTGAAATGGATAGAAAATTGGACACATTCGAAGGTGATACTTTTATATATAAAACATATACTGCATTTTTGTCATACAAAGCAAGGTTATTTAAGGGCAATTTGGTACTGCAAGGGAAATGGAAATAAGTTATGCACAATTTTTGTAGCATATATCTCTCATCATCTTTGCTAGGAATTAATAAAATCTACATTATTCATCTTCAGCAATTCAGTTTGCAATTTCATAGTTCTTACCGGATGTATGCACTTCGTTTACTATTCACGATGGTCATAAAATGACCATTGTCTGCAGCTACAAATATATGGCTTTAGCTAAAAGCCTATATTATATATATATGCATATAAAAAATCTGAATCATAGTATAGCTTCATACTTTGTGTGTGTGAGGGTGGGGGGGGGGGGACATGTGTGAGAGTGAGTGAGTGTGAGTGTGGGTGTGAGTGTGTGTGTGTGTGTGTGTGTGTGTGTGTTCTATGCACATATGTGTGAGTGCCTGTGTGTGTATATATGACTTGACATTCCACAAAATAACTTTATCTTATTTTCAACCAACTCTGTGTAATTTATGGCATGAGAAGTTCATCATAGCAGCAATATAAACTATATAACAAAGGTGATTGTGAAAATAAAAAGTGAACATTTTGAAAATGATGTATTTTCCTCAAAAAAAAAAAAAAAAAAAAAAATGGGGGGGTGGGGTGGGGGGAAAGAAAAAAGAAAAAAGAAAAAAAAAAAAAATGTGGAAAAAAAGAAAGGGGATTCTCACTATCTTTTGAACCTTTATTACAAATTTCCCGAGGAAAAGTGCAAAAGGCCCAAAACATAAAAACATCCTACATGCAACCCAGAGGAACAGGATACTATAAAGGCTAATTCTTCTAACGCTATGTGAATAACAACACCTTGTCTCCTTTCCATCAAGGTTTGCGTGAGAGTGAGACAACTAACCCAAGAATGGAGATCTCACTTCAAATGATACTCTATGGAAAGTTTTGGTCCCCTAGATATACAAAGTTAGATGATATCCTGGCAGAAATACCAAAACCTTTTAGCATTTATTGCCGTCTTTAAATGTGTGTATTTTTCCATTGTTAAGAAAGTCGCAGGTTTCTAATACCAATTTCAATATGATATATATCAATTTATATAGAGGCACGCATTCAGGTTCCATAAATAATTAAAGCATTCTTCTCCATAATATGCACCCCTCATGACCACACTAGGACTACATCTAAAGTGGGTCTCTTCTTAAGACAATATATAGTAATATCAATCTTCATAATATGTATCACTCATATATGTAGCTACTCAACTCTATTTTTTTTTTTTAAATAAAGGATATTAATGATGATGATACCACAAAAGGAAAAGAAAAATATCCTATGCAAATTTTCTTCTAATCAAAAATTTGTATTTACATAGAACTTGAGACTGGGAGAAAGGAAGTGAAAGGAAGAAGAAGAAGAAAAAAAAAGAAAATGAACAAGGAAATAGAAATCATGTAATTGCCTCAGAAACACCATAATAATACTGAACAAAAATTGACAGCCAATTGTTTGGAAGATTTCAGCAAAGCACATCGGACACGGTTGCAAGAAAAACAGCATTGCTTCTTTTCTTCTTCCATCTACTGCAGACACGACTGGATCTTTTCAATCCACTCCTGAGCAGCCGCACCATCTGATGCACAGAAGTTATACAGGCGGCGCTTTGTCTGCAGCTGTAATAACATTTGGAACCTTAGACTTTTTCAGAGTAACAAGAATGGCACAGGGAAATAAAAGTTAAAAACAAAACTATCATATAAACCAATTATAAATTAGGTTTAGGGCATCACACTATATACATACACACATACATTATGTGTGTGTGTGTATATATATATATATATATATATATATATATATATATATATATATATATATATATATATATATATATATATATATATATATATATATATATATATATACATATATATATACATATATATATACACACATATATACACACATATATACACACATATATATACACATATACATACACATATATCTATACACATATATCTATACACATATATCTATACACATATATCTATACATCTATATCTATACATCTATATCTATACATCTATATCTATACATATATATATATATATATATATATATATATATATATATATATATATATATATATATATATATATATATATATATATATACATATATATATAAATACATCTCTCTCTCTCTCTCTCTCTCTCTCTCTCTCTCTCTCTCTCTCTCTCTCTCTCTCTCTCTATATCTATATGTATATATATATATATATATATATATATATATATATATATATATATATATATATATATATATATATATATACATACATACATACATACATACATACATACATACATACATACATACATACATACATACATACATATATATATATATATATATATATAATACACACACACACTTACATATTCATAAATATAGACACAAAATCTTTAAATGGAACACTTACATCAAAGAAGGCTCTCTCATCAACCTTTTTTGGTGCTCCTTGGGTTGGGCCAGATGGAACCACAGCAACAACATCAGATAATTCTAAAGGAAAAGAAAAAGAATCAGGTGATAATAATAATAATAATAAAAAACCGTCTTGTATCTAAAACATTGATGTAGTGTCATAATTCAAAGAGAATGACAGACAAGAAGCAACAGTTCGGCAACATACCTATAATGCCCTTGCAGTGTGAGTCTTCCATGCTGTCATAGTATCTCAGTTGATGCTTCATGCTATCGAGTACAAACCAACGCTGCTTCCAGTTTTTGAGAAGTGAACCACGTTTCCATAAGTAACCCTCGTGTGTGCGGTTTTCAGCAACATTAGAAGAAAACTGTTCGTAGTACTGGTGAGATGTAGTTTGCAATGAAGTAACCCCTGAAATTAAATATTCATGTAGAAAACATTTGTTTATGTAATATATCTCAGTAAATCACTTCTTCCTGAAATATACAGTGTGTCCAGAGTAGAGTAACTTTGATACTGCAACAGTTGGTACTAGATGTTTGACTAAACTACTCAGATGGTTGCACAATCTAGTATTGGAAAGGACTTCAAACATGTAAAATAAATACATATAAATACATATTCACCTATACATGTTTTCAACACACACAGGCAGTAATATAGCTGCCCTTGTTCTGAAAGATATTCCATACCTGATCCAACTGAAGTGTTGTCTAAGCTGGTCGGTTTTGTGCTTGTTTGGATACTCACTCCTGATTCCCTCACACTCTTAAACCTGGTGCAGTTCTTTGGTACAGACTCTATGCACTTCTCATGGCAGTTATACCCACAGTCCATACATCGCATGCCAGTCTGTTGAGGATTTAGACATTTTTTATCATTACTGAGAACAAATTACTACACATTATGTTAGAATGCAGGGGGAGGGGGGGAAAGGGGGGAGACAGAAAGAGAGGCAGAGGGAGGGAGGGAGGGATGGAGAGAGAGAGAGAGAGAGAGAGAGAGAGAGAGAGAGAGAGAGAGAGAGAGAGAGAGAGAGAGAGAGAGAGAGAGAGAGAGAGAGAGAGAAGAGAGAGAGAGAGAGAGAGAGAGAGAGAGAGAGAGAGAGAGAGAGAGAGAGAGAGAGAGAGAGAGAGAGAGAGAGAGAGAGAGAAAGAAAGAGAGAGAGAAAAAGAAAGAGAGAGAGAAAAAGAAAGAGACAAAGAAAAAGAAAGAGAGAGAAAAAGAAAGAGAGAGAGAAAAAGAAAGAGAGAGAAAAAGAACGAGAGAAAAAGAGAAAAAGAGAAAGAGAGAAAAAGAGAGAAAGAGAAAGAGAAAGAGAGAAAAAAGAAAGAATTTTAAAATTTAGTTTTGATTCCATTAGTTACAATGGATATTCTTGGTGTGACATACTGTCTGTTTTATTTTGCTTCTAAATTATCCCCTGTGTGCAAGGAATGGCTGGGGTTACCATCCACTGGTGGCGAGGGATTCGAACGCAGGTCAGCAAGATTGTTAGACGAGATCGCTACCGTTGCACCACAGAAAGAGAAAAAGAGAGAAAAACAGAGAAAGAGAAAAAGAGAGAAAGAGATAAAAAGAGAGAAAGAGAAAAAGAGAAAGAGAAAAAGAGAGAAAGAGAGAGAAAGAGATATGGGTAGGTCAACAAGATTGCTAGACACTGCACCACACAGCACAGCACAGCATGTGCAGAGAGAGAAAGGAGAGAGAGATATTGCCACCATTCCAAAGCACCTCACCTTCAAGGGCCCCCACAGGAGAGATGAACAATGGTCGCAGTACGAAGGCGTGGTGTAGTTGTATTTCTCAAAGCGGTGAGGATGGGAGTAGCAGCCCTGTGGTGTGTCGCCTCCTCCACCTGCACTGCTGCTGGTCTTGCCTCTGATCAATATCTCAATGGTGCTGCGTTTGTGCACACTTCGCCCATGGTGCCGAACCATCTGCGTGGTCATGGACACTTGACGCTGAGGAAGCAGGAGAGAATTTGTCAGTGAAAGTTGAGCATAAACAAAACATTCATCTCTAATACATATACCATATAAGTATATGGATAGTTTTAAGGCAAAATGTGACATACATTTTTGTTTATTTGAAATATTTGTTTTCTTCCTATTTTGATTATTGCCTGCAATTAATTCAAGGGTTTTGGTACTGTTCATTTCTTCTCTCATGGCATTTCAAGATTTATATTGATGGAAAGTGATATATTCAGATCTTAAGTATTACTTATCTATTCATTCATTTATTAATTTTCTTTTTTTTTCAGAGTATGATAGCCTATTACTTTTTCACACATACTTGTATAAATAAGCATATCACCACCTTTGGTGATTTCCAGTTTTGCATATCAAGTTTTATAAAGGATATGTGATAAAATAATAATCCTTCTTAATCCCTACAAACTACAGATCTATCAGCCAGATATTTCAAATTTCACTATAGAAAGTTTTGGTTCATGGCATTTCAAGAGCTTAATTTTATACAAGATAAGATGTCACTGTCCTCCATTTCCAATATCCACTCATGGACATGACTAAGAATAATTCACTATATCTCCTCCCTGCCTATAATTACTGCAATCATCATCAAACTTTTATGTCTTCCTCCCCATGATCTTTCTCAGTCCCATCATTCGGTGGCTTACTTGGCCCTACAGTTTAGACTTCCATTCCTTCTCAGATTCAAGGCCAAACATCCTTAAATAATAATAATAAAAGAAGAAAGAAGTTTTAGGGGTCTTTTTACCCAACACATATAATGTATTTAAATTTGTAACTACACTGACAAGAATTAAGATGATACCCTTTTGCTATCATAGCTATGATACTGTTATACTCTTCTCTTTCTAAGGAGTTTGACTGGATGTCAACACATGAGTGTGGCAATCTATGATCAAGGAACCTCAGTCTGTGAGCTCAGTTGTCTGTACTACCTTAATCTTATACCTTGACCATCAATTTAAACACAGTATTCTATTAACCTGGAATCTATTTATATAATCCCAGGGGGGGAAGAATTTTAAAAGCTAAGCAACTGGGTCTAGTAAATATCCAGGCACCTCTAGTCATTGTCAGGAAGTGCCTGTTTATAGTATGAGGTGCCTTTTGGATTTCGGGGGCTTAGATAACTTTCTTGTTCTCTCAAACAATGAACTCTGAACCCTACAGTAACCTTCTGGAAAATATCTAATTGAGTGCTTTGCTAAGACTGGAGCTGAGACCATTCAGTAGGACAAAAACCCTGCCACACCTTTCCTGTCCACCTGTCTGACAGTCAGGTGTAGTCCACAGAGGATTGGCCAGGCCAGGGTCATGAAGCATCCCCAGTGGAAACTTCTGGGGGCTTTTGTAGGCATAATTTCAAAAGGAAGACATCTTTACCATCTTTACTGACAATTTTGGCAAGAAATGCCCACCTTTCACTATGAACACCTAGCTGTTTCTGTCTTAGAGCCTGAAAAAATAATGCAAACCAACAAATACCATAGTGTGTAAAAGTTAAATTATCTATAATGAATTCCTTGTCTTTTCTTTCTCCCTCATTTGAACTGTACTGACATGACAGACAGACACAGACACAAACATCTCTATACATATCTCTATCTAAACACAAACACAGATGTAGACAGACAGAGGGGCACGCGTACACGCACACACAGAGGTATATAAAATGACACTTACTGTCAGCTGTTCAGGTGGAGGCAATTCCAGCTTATCCCAGTGCACATTCCACTTCTGGGGGAGGTGTCCCAGTTCCAGCTCCAAATGACGCAACTCCTCCAGCTGTGCTGTGAAGGTATCTGCCTGGACTCCCCACACACAATCATATCTTTTTGAAGAAACAAATGTCAATGTTTAAAACCAGATTATTCTACAAACTGATGTAAATAATGTTATGCCAGTTTTAGGTGAGCAATATCATATCATAAACATAATGTCAATCTTAATTCATTGCTTATTAAAAATCATGTTGACTTAAAACAATATAGCAATATCTATCTTTATTGCAGCAAATAAGAAGAGGATTATTCACTCATCAGACTTCATGGAGGATCACCAAAATACACAAACATTATACATCATATAACTTTATACATCTATAACTTTATATAATTTTTCCTGGCGAGAGAGGGAGAGAGAGAATAATACACACATATACACACACACACACACACACACACACACACACACACACACACACACACACACACACACATATATATATATATATATATATATATATATATATGTACACACACACACACACACTTATATATATAATGTATACACACGCACATATTCCTATATCTATATCTATACATATTACGTACCCACTAATAACAATCCTGCGCTGGGAAGTGGTGGTTGTGCCATCTGCGGCCTCTGCCTCCTCCTCTTGTTGTCGGTCTAGGCTGCGTACCTCAGGGTCATAGGAAGGGCCATGACGCAGCTCTTCCCCTATCAAGTAGCTCCACAGCTGAAGTGCACTCAACTCCTTCACTGGCCTCAATACCTTTAAAGCATGAATGTGTTTGGTACTTTGGAAAAAAAACATTATTTCAGCAGGCCAAAACTAAACTTCAATTTCAACATTAGGTTAACTTACACATAGATGGCTACACTTGTACTAAGTCACCAATGAGCCAACTATGAGTGCTGCCTGTCTGGTGCATTTACCCTTTTCCTTGATTTACAAAAATATTTTATGTCATCTTATTTTGCTGTTACTAATCTTTATAACATTATTGTAATTCTAAAGTCTATAACAAAAGTAACACCATTGATATTCAAAGCATTAGTAAAAAATGTTTTTTTCTGCCAATTCAAGGAAAGGTGAAATAAGGTAAGGTCACAAGGTCTACTGATTGACTCCTTTGTGGCTAACCACCAGCAGAGCCATCTATGTGCAGAGACATTTCACTAAAAAATTTAAAATGAGCACAGCATTTTCCTCTGTAGCATGTGGTTAACCATGTTCAACTTCACCGCTTGCATTTAGTGTTTCAGTATGACTAGTCCAGATGATGATGGCAGGGTGTGATGGTGCATACCCCATTTTTACCTCCGCCAAGGAGGTTATGTTTTTGACGGCGTTGGTTTGTTGGTTAGTTTGTTTGTTAGCAGCCTAGCTCAAAAAGTGCTGGCCGGATTTCATCGAATTTTTGGGAACAAGTCAGAAAGGGACTAACTTAGTACTGATTAAAATTTGGGGACATTCCGAATTACCGTCTGGTTATTATTATTATTATCATTATTTAATCAATAAAGTACACAAATCTACAGTAAACGTGTGCCACATTTCACTGACATTCCGAATTACCGTCTGGACGCAGCAACGGTGCAAGTACATTATATACGCACCTTGGCGGAGGTCTGCACTCTCTGAGTGCTTTTCTAGCTTTTTTTATGATAGCACCAAAACTAACCCAACTAAAATGAAATAAAATATTCACCCTCCTTGAGATTATTGAAACTATTCCCATAATATGGAACACTAAATCGAATTAAATTTTAAAATTTATATTTAAATTTATTCCATTTGATTTGAAATGACTTCTTTTTCTAAGCTGTTTTCTCATAACAGAATCATTAATTCTAGTTTGGAGCATCCTTGTACAAAGGACAGCAGCAGCTTGCAACTCATCCTCCTGCGATGTCATGATGTCTGAGACTCCTTGAAAACGCTAGCAAATTCATAATTTTTACAATGTGTCTTTATCAGCTTGAAATTCCCTCTGGGACAGTGACAAATTGGGAACAAAAGAAGGTAGCATCTAGCATCAAAAGCAGTGCCACGTAAACTGGCCTTACCATCCCAATGGAGGTGTACTTGAGCCAGCTATGCCATGACTGTGGGATCATTTACAACTACTTTCTCTTTCATTAGCAGTTAGAATAATAATGATATCAAATAACTGGTATCTTTTAAATTTCAGGCTAATCAAATAAATGTACAAATGCATAACATATCAAAATACATACTGCAGAATCACTAATTCTGTCTCCAACATAAAGGAAGTTGTAAAAGCTGGAGTGTCGGCCACTGTGCTTCTCTATGTAGTCAAATACAGATGTGCCTAAGTGTCCTGAAGATCCTGGTGATGATACTCTCCCTCCTGGAATAGATATAAACACTGATCTTTTAATAAAGTATAAAAGAGTAAAAGAAGTTCTCACATACCTATCTTCTAGTTGTTAGTTTTTCAACTACAAATGTCACAACTCTATCGGCTTATAACCAGTGCAACCTACAGACCTCCTGGATAAATGTCATCATCCTGCGATGCCTCTAAGCCTTTGTGGTGTCTCGACAAGGAACCTCGCTTGTCTTCCTCTGTCATGATGCCTAACTCTGCTCTCTCTAGCTCTGAATCACTCAAGAATGTGCGGAAACGAGCTGACACGTAGTGGTAAGCCAAAAAACGGAGGTAGTATTCATTGAATTCAAAAGACAAGGGAAACTGCCGCTGGATCTGAGGAAGAAAACTGCTTTAAGAAAACAGTACTGAATACCATTCATGTAGTAATGTCTCATGAAAAGCATACTAACAAATTACACAGATAGGCTCTCACATGCACAAACTAACCCTTATCATCTTTTAATCACAAGATAAATTTCAACAATGACATTAATATCAAAGGCAATGTTGAATATTCATAAAGTTAACATTATGCATGATATCAGCCAAAAGAAATTTTTACCTGATGGACAGCATCTAGAAACTGAAGGAATATAGGAGCAAAGCCACTAGCTTGGGATCCCTGGAGGAGATTTGAGCGATGATTGAATCGATGACCAAATGCAAGCCACTCTTTCTCAATCAGGACTCTAAACCCTTCAATAGTGCGGTAGTATGGATCCAAGCAGAGTTGAGCTATGCTGGTTACCTGAAAGATTTTTAAAAATAAATTACACCTGATCATAATCAAAATATGACTTCATCTAAGAAAATTTACAGCTAATGACTATTCTTCCATAAGGAGCACTGGCTGTAAATATCAAACTTTATCAAAAAGGACAAATTACTTTGGTAATATTCTAATGACAATCACCATTTCAGCTGAATTTTGAATTTACATACATCTCAGTCCTCAAGAAAAGCCAATCAATTACCTGAGCAGTGAAGTCCCATCCATCCTCTAGGAGAAGCATAACTGATGCCCCCAACAAATCAATCAGGTCAACAATGGCCCCTGCTACCTGCAGGAGGGTCTCCAGCTGATTCAACCATTCACTGTTCTCGATTGCTCTGTTGGGGAAAATTTAAACAATTATTTAATGATGCAGGAAGGGGTGGGGGGGTGGGGGGGACTTGAGCCAGGATAACTGAATCAAGACTGAAAACTTACACCTCTTAATCCCTTGGATCTGGATGCCTGCATGTGGCCCAAAATAGAGGCATTAGGCTTACTTGACAGGTACTCTGATGAGTGTGTGGCTTGTAGGTTGGGCACACACAAACACTCGTGTGGTGACAAGACCCCATGCTTCCCCTCTGCAATATCATTTTACCTTTTTCTGTTTTTTTGCTATTCGTCAATGTTAATATTTGTCATTTGATCTGGTTTATCCAGGTGGTAACAGACTACTTTCCCTTCACAGACTCCATATATCTCTCTAGGTAGTCCATAACTCAGTGCAATAATAATAATAAGTCATGGGAACAGAATCCTGAATATGGAGACAGTGTCCCCCCTGGAGCCAGTGCTCTTCCAGTTATGGCTCAGAGATGGTACATTACACACTTGTTTATTAATGGAAATAATGCAAAGGCCCCTTCCTAAATACCCATTGAGTCTAATCACCCTTCAAGAGCTTTGTTTACTTGTGGTGAGTCATTCCCATCACCCCATACTTCAGCTGAATTTCACCCTGACCCTCAGACAAATTTTCCCCTGACAAATTGTTCATGTCACCAGCTTCTCAAGCCAATCTTTTCTCGACATGAGGGCCACATCATCCTGATTGTAGGGGTTAAAGAATACTCATGTAAATAAGTTCCCATAATCCACCACCTACCTAATGCTTTATTTTATTTATTTATTATTTTTTTTTTTTGCTGTGAATGAGAATGAGTAGGAGTATGTGATGTCTGCTTAAAAAGTTTTCTACAGCCACACCAATCATACTAACACCAGAGTCCCACTCTTCTTATAGGCTTTTTAAGAACAAAATGCAGTTCCCATGGTAATTATAAAAGTGTATGAATATTTTTTTCTCACCTTCTTTTATATGATAATTATTCCCAACATGACAATATACAAAAAAGGTGGTGCCCCCTTATTTCAAAATCTTGATATACAAGAAGATTTTCAAAAAGAATTCTGTAATATACAATGGTTCTTATGACAGCAATCTGAATAATACCTTACTTTTGCACGACATATCTTCTAAGTGACAGGAATCTAATATTTTACCCCAAAATTAATATACAGTAATTGTCATATTTGGGTATGTCTGCTATGTAGGGCAGAAGACAGCAGGTCATCTTACTTTTTTGTTTGTTTCTTTCTTTTTCTTTTATCTAACAACTTCTATTTAGTGTAATACTTGGCTAGGTGTGGTACCCAGGGTAAAAGGGAGCAAACTTCATTCTATTTGCTAATTTCCCTCTGTACAAAAGCAGCTCTGTAAGTTCCTTTCTTTCTGAACCATCAAGCTTTCATGATTTCATCAAGGCTTAATAGCTTTGTGTCTATAACTGATACACTAAACAGAAAAAAAAATCAATGAGCTGTATTTGGTTTGCCTTCTACAGTAGCTGATATAAATTGGGTAAAAATGTAAGGGATGCAGAGTACATAAGCTATAGTGCATTCACTTTGGATACATATGGGGTGTAATCAAATGGCTGGCAGGGCAGTGTCACATCAATAATTAATGACAATATTTTATTTGAGTAACAGTATTTCTTCTTCTTAAGTTTACAATTTTCATCAATTTGTAAGTGTGAAACTCATGCCTGAATGGTTACATTAAAACTTTTATAAGTGATCAGGTTTTAATTACAGTTGGATTTGTTATTTCTGTTGAAATGTAGGTAATGGGCAAGCTGGCAGGGATGTATCCCATATGATGTTATAATGGAATTTTACTTAAAATATGAGTACCAGTCTTAACTTCTTCTCAAGTTTTATTTTCCATTAAACTATAATTGTTTTTCTCAGGCACCATTTACTACACTGATACCAATATATGTATCTATATTGTCTCTAGATTTCCTATTTCTGTAGAACAAAAGGTTGGCAACAGTTCTGTAGTTCCCCACCAGAGGTCATGTTCTGACTATAATGAAGACTAAGATTATTTACACAGCTCTTTACAAAACGAATGATACTCAGGAAAGGAAGACCTACCTGAAGAAGGACTGTTCTTGTTCAGCAGCTGGAGAGGAGGGTACACAGGCTCTCATCAGCTTCTTGAATGAGGACTTGATTTGGCGCACCTCTGTGTATTCCACGGGGATGAACTCTGTCTTGTGGTAAGCATCTGTTTTGATGCCCTGATAAACAAATATTGAGCTTATTAAACATCCATTCTTAGCC